ATTTAGATTATTTCTAAATGTATTTAAATGTCTGACTAATACCTCTTTTGCTCCAAAGTTGAATGTCTGACACACAGGCCGCGCTTGACTAAAAGTCCTTTCCAGCGGCATGGGAGCTCGTCTCTGAGGACTCCTTTAAGACGCGCTTAAGCACGAACCGCCTGGTACGCTTCCAACGCTCTTTAGGGATGCTCTTGTTGCATCTGTCTGACATCTCCTTCCATTTTCAAAGGCTGCCTGAACGCATCACGGCCGGGCTTCGCACCCCAACAGTCCTCCAAACACCACTTTTGCTTATGAAATCCAAAAAGTGGTTCAGATGATTTCCAGTTCCTGCAAAGGTCCTGTCCTGCATGCTCACACACACATGCATGCACACACACACAAATAACACACACATACACTCTCTTTGGTCTTTTATGGGACTGAAATAGCTCTCCGCCTCCCACTCTGCCTTATATAAGATCCCAGCACAGAGATTTGCTATTGCAGAAGATGTGTGTGTGCGTGTGCACGCGCGTGTCAATGGGTGGACAGTGGGAGTGTCTTGAGTCTGTGCAATTGCGTGATTTGCCTTGTAAAATGGTAAGTTTACAAAACAGGTCTAGTTATTACTATACATATATGTATATGTATATATATTTTTTAAATGACGATCAGATCGTGCAAATTGTTGACCTGCTTTTAAAGTGCAAATGTTTGATACAAATTCAATGAGCAAAGACTTCCTCCAAGGTTGGATTGTTGGCATTGGCATAAGTGAGTTGAGAGCAACCAGCAGAGTGCAGCCATTTTGGCCATCATTAAAATACACGATTAGTAGACCCATGAGTTGATCCAAAGTGAGACCGAAGTTTTATTCCTAAAAAGTATCTTTCAATTATTCAGTTAAGATGCATTTCACAAAAGTTGAAAGATAGTACCTTTCGATGGATGGAGCTTTTTTTTCCTTTGATGTGATTCAGCCATTTCAGGAATACAACTCCAAAAAAATAAAAGGCATTGGGTGACGCCACTGCTTCTTAGGCCTACAACCTTCTTAACAAAACAAGAACACAATCGGCAAACATAAGAATCCTTCAAAGGCAGCACCACAAATGTCGTCATCTTAGAGTGAATTTAGATTAGTCCAAGAAAAACAAAAGCACACTCCAAACTTGTGTAAACAAAGTTGTCAAAGATGACATGCAAATGTATCCATCCATCCATTTCCTGTTCCGCTTAATCTCCTCACAAGGGTCGCGGGGGGCCGGAGCCTATCCCAGCTGTTTTCGGGCAGTAGGCGGGGGACACCCTGAACCAGTTGCCAGCCAATCGCAGGGCTGCAAATGTATTGAAACGTTGAATACAGTACAACACAACTGTATGGACTCAATTGAGCATTTTGACTGATCTTTCACAATTTACAGAATCTTCTGTCCTGTGGCAATACAAGCACCGAACCTACCAAAAGAAAGAGTTGACTCTCTTCTCCCACAGGAGAACAAAAAAGTTTGTCTCTTGCTTGTTCTGTTCTTTCGTCATCCGCTGTAAAACATCGGTGGGTTTTGCCAAAGTCCCCCACTTTCTGACCTAAAAGCGGAGAAAATGAGCTTTTGTGAAAAGAAGCAGGTCAAGTAGAAGGGCAGAGATTCTTTTGACCCCTCAAATGATAAAAGAAATATATATATATATATATATATATATATATTTTTTTTTTAATTTATTTTTTCCACCTGGATGATGCAGTCATGGTAAGGCTGTTTTGGAAGATGTGGAAGGTTGCAGCAGCACAAGTTGGGTCCTTTTCTTCTTCTTTGAGTCTTTTCATTCTCCTGGAGTAGGCGGAGGGAGCTTGTGGTAGACTGGAAGATGTTCCAGTAACAATGCTTTTCGGGACATGCTGTGATGGTGCTGGAGTGGATGAAGTGGAACCCAAACCTAAAATAACAATAACAATCATACATTTTATTTATTATAGCGCTTTTCTAGATACTCAAAGTCACTTTACAGAGGTACAATGAACACTCATAAGAAGAACATTTAAAAAAAAAAATGCAAATGATCAGAAAACATGAAATCAGTTTTGAACGGATGGGTCTTGAGGTTTTTTTCCAAAGGTGCCGAGGGCAAAGAATGTTTGGGGAAATGAGTTCCAGACTGTGGCGGCAGCTATGGAGCAAAAACAGGCAGCAAAAATGGTAACGTTTCAATGAATATCTGTTTTACATCGGAATTTATCGGTATTTTCTTCAGCTCGTAGCCTAAAGAACTCAGTAGTATGATTAAATAACATACTTCAACAGCTGAAATGTATTTCACAATATGGGTATTTCATATTATTTGGATTTTTTTTTTCAACTATTGAAAATAAGGACCTGGAGAAAAAAGGAGGAATGTAGGTCTTTTAACATATAATACTATCATCCTAATTCTTTAACAATAGGTCAATGCAACGATGAAAAAGTAAACCGGTTGATATAAAGATGAATTCAATGTCTTTTTGAACAAAATATGCTAAAACAATTCAACTGTGTGTACACTGTTGTGTTGGAAGACCAGGCTGGGAAGAGGAATGTCTGGGCTTCTCTGCTGAAGCTGCTGCCTCCGCAACCCAACCCCAAATAAGCAGTAGAAAATTGATGGATGGACGGATAATATAGGCCTATCTTTTTCTGAGATCTATTGATGAGAAAAGTGCATCTTTTTACTTTGAACCTAAAGGGGTTTTTGAAATCAAATTACAGTCTCAACCAGTTGTACAAGAAGCAAATTATCAACTCAAACATTTCCCTCTCTTTTTTGACTTTGATAAGAAGTAGTGCTGACTTCAGCCCTGATCTACATGGTCACCCATGTGATCCTTGGGAAAATGACTTATTTGGAGACATGCCTTTTTCAGCTCCCAGTCTTGACTGAAGTGAACGGTCACACTCGCATTTCCTGCTTGACCATGTCGCTGGTCAACGGGTCACGTTGACCAGCGACATGGTCAAGCCATGGTCAAGCCTTGCTGACCAGAACTGTTCAGCAAGGCTTCACCTGACTTCAGTTTACATTTGTGGTGGTCTTTCTCAGGCAGAGTAGGTGTGACTATAGTGGTGTTCACACGGCAACATTTGGTCCGACACAGCACCGGTGCTGCGCCAGTTGAGCGAGCACACGAGCAAATTTGCTCTGGCGTAGCGCCGCTAAACAGCTTACACCGGACCAAATTTGATCCACCTAACGGAGGTGGGTTTAAAAATTTGCTCCAGAGCAGATGCTCGTTTGTGGCGCAGCACCGATGTAAACTTGCACGTGTGAACGCTACAATTTGCTCCGGAGCAAATGCTCGTTTGCAAGGGGGGAGTAGCCTCGCTACGCATGAGAAGAGTTGATTACGTATGGCGAGAATGCGTTGCTTTCGTGCTCTGTCAGACTTCTGCCATGTGTTTGTTTAATAACGACACAAGACAAGGCTGGTAACAGTAGCAAAGCACCTCTTGGGTTATACCATCTCAACGAGAACGGGGGGGGGATAGTCTCCAAACGTCATCTTTCCTTTTGTAGGAGACTGGACTGTCCCTGAGTTGTTTGTATAGTTTGTTCCTTTGTTGTGTGTTCACAACCCCCCCACGTACCCCATAGAATGTATTTCGTGATTTCCTCTCTTGATTTTCCTGTTTGGCGCATTATATTTTTGCTTTTCTGAGTGTCATTGAAGTCATCGTTGATTTACGTTATCGGGGGGCGGTCACTCTCAAGCGGAAGGCACGGAAACCGAGAAGGAGAAGGACGTGCCTGTACAGTAGTTGCTTGAGTTGTGTATTCGTTTAAAAAAGAACCAACACGACAAGTCATTTGTTTTCTGTCGTTTTGCTCCGCTGCAGAAACTGCGGTGTGAACGCAAGTGGAGCTGCACCGACGCTGCGCCGGTGCTGCCACGCTCAGCGGCGTTGTACGTGTGAACGCTCCACAAAATTTGCTCCGGTGTAAACTATATTGCAACAAAATACATCGGTGCAGCGCCGGATCAAATGTGTGCCGTGTGAACACCCCTTAAGAAGGTCATATCACCTCTAGATCTACAAAAGTGGAGAGGCATACATTATGTATGTAACAGGCCAAGACCTAAAAATAAGTCTTTGGGAGCCAAATGCTAAATCTAACACGAAGTCTGCCATTTTTTCTCTATTTTGTAATTTGGCGCCATTTTTGGCCTTTTATCTCGGATGGATGTTAACAAACCAATCCTAGAGAATTCATACAATTGTCTTCAAGCTCAGTGTGTTTCACCTAAATGTGTTGAAGATGAAAAGTTATTGAAAGCTTTTTCAATATTTCGAATGCTGTTGCCAGCATTCGAAATCAAAAGAGCGAGGCTCTGTTTGCAAAGAAAAATCGTGCTGTTTTTGAGGGTCTGAACCAGGGGGAATACTCATGATACTTCACACACACATAAGGCTAGGATTACGAGGGCCCTTTAAAGCTGCTTGCAGCTCTGGCTGTTTTTATTTTTGGCAATTCTACATGTTTTGATGAAATAAAATATTTTTTTAATTCTATTTTTCTTCATTCAAATACACATTAAAACATTTTCTGTTGTTTTTCTTTGTAGGCAATTCAATGGGAAGATTTGAAATATGAGTGTTTTCAGTGACGAGTGTGGTCATAGAAATAATTATATCTCAAGGGCACACTGTATTTAAGTATGGAATTTAATATTTTGCAAATGACTGTGTTAATGCCCTCATTTTAAGTAAAATATGTCAATCAGCTCGAGCTTCCGCAAGGCGTCTGTGTTGTTAACAAACCAAATGATTGACAAAGAATTAACAGTAAGCTGTAACCGTCCATCATTGCGGAGTGGTGAATGTCACGTGACGAGTTCAACCCCTACTAAGGATCGAATGACAACACACATGATACACGAATAGAAAGAGAGATATTGTACCACTTTGTTTCAAGCAAACCATGCAAGCAATGATAGGTGTATAAACAGCCTCAGGATGAAAAGCGGACACACTTTCACTGGATCTGGGATGGTCATAGGTAAATCGCAGGGTAACTGTGAACGGGGCATTGAGTGGTATTTTACCTCAGTTCCACCTGCACTAATGTCACATCTGTCAACCGGAACTCTCGTCTGATTGTCAATACTGACAACTAGAAAAAAATGTGTCAAGTTTCTTGCTCTTTCTAATAATAAAAATTTACAATGCGTGTAACACATACAACATATAATTTTTTTGCCTCTTGAATGTCTGTAAATATTTTCATTCATTCAGGTTATTGAATTGGTCGCAAATGGAATGATGTTTTTGAATACAAAGTAATTATAGAATATTGTTTTTGAACTTTTTTTTTTTTAAATAAAAATGCAACCAGTCATACTGTTTGTTGTTTTTCTGAATAAAAATGCAACCATTCATGCTAAGGGGCATGTGATTGCCTGTTGTCCTAAATCCACTGTTTATATCACTCTCATTCAGTCCTAATGGTGAAAAAAGGCTCGATTTACTGTTAATAGAATTTTTTTTTCTGATGTCAAGATACATCTAAATCAATGGCAGAAAATGTGTGTGTGTGTGTGCACATGCATGCGTGTTCACAGAACAACAAAGTGAGGAAACGAAAATCAAGAAAAAAAACAGAAGAACACTGAAAGAGGTATTGATTTTCTAGGGTAAATCAGGGCCTGTAATTAACATGTTAATTTGAAAAAGAAGGAGAGTATGTCCTGACGAGCAGGGATAAAAGGACTGAATATCAATCCAACAGAATAAGAAGGAAGAAAGGCTGTGGGGATGGCATATAGACAATAAGAGCAAGAGAATGCATCCATCTTTATCCTTAACTAGTTAACAGTCAGAATGTATTATTTTCCAAATATAGTCTGGATGCGCGTTTGTCTTTCTGTCTGTGCATGTGTGTGCGTGTGTGTGTGTGTGTGTGTGTGTGTGTGTGTGTGTGTGTGTGTGTGTGTGTGTGTGTGCGCGTGTGTGTGTGTGTGTGTGTGTGTGTGTGTCTTTGTCTGTCTGTCTCGCTCTCATTCTCTCTCTCACTCTATGTATTGACGGTCACATACGTACTACGTTACAAAAAATGTGACGGCGAATAAAAATATAAGTAACTTAAGGATTCAATGAACCGATCGATGACTCAGCTCAGCTTTATTTATAGAGCACAATAAAAACAACCACAGCTGCATATTAGTGCTGCACATGAAATAAAATCATAGATTTAAAGACAAAGACAGGTAAATTAAAGGAGAAAGCCTCCCTTTTGTTAACTTAAACATAGATTTGACTGTAATCAGCAGAGCAGTGAAAGGAAATACTTTCTTACGATGGAACCCAGGGGCAACAAATACAATGAAAACATCTGGGGCACCAAAATTGAACCATGTGGAACACCACATGACAGCGTGGTGGGCAGAGTGGGACTCAGCTAAACCAAAGCTAACACAAAAAGTCCTGCCCCTCAACTAGGATCTAAAACATTCTATAGTGCTACCAAAAATCCCCACCTGGCACGGCAAACGAGCCAACAGAATACTGAGGTCCACCTTATCAAAGGCTGCAATCAGGTCTAACAAAACAAGACACAGATGGTCAGCAACGTCATTAGCCAGGAGGATGTCATTAAAAACTCAAAATAGGGCTGACTCTGTGCTCTGCACCATCTAAAAATCTGATTGGAAAACATCCATGACATCATGTTCATCACATGCCAGATAGGGAAGATTTTTGCCAGACATTTCTTTCTGTGTCAGGTAGGGCTGAACGATTTATTGTTTTTGGGTGATAATTGTGATCTCAGACACAATTTCAAAATCATCAAAGCTGTGTTTACAGCACTCTTGTCTTAATGACCCAAGCTCACCAATCAAGCAGCATGCTACTTCTAGACAAGTCAGCACCCTGACAAATCAGTGCCGAGCTGATTTTCTCCGTGTC